TTGAGCTGTCGCAGAAACTTTCGCCCCACGAACCAGTCAATTCCGTTGGAAATCTCAGGGCAGGCGAAACTTTCCGCAGTACGCCTGCTGCGTTCAGCGCTGATGTCGTCTGTGATGTCCTGGAGCACCTTTGCACGGCCAGAACCAACGGTGAGGTCATAAGACGTGGGGGGCTCAGGTCGGCGCCATTCTTGCAAACTAGGAAAGTTCCACTTCAAGCCCGTCATGTGTCCCACAGTGGCAGCAAGGGGTCCTTTGACATGATGCCAATTTGTCCGACCCTCTTGGAATCCCGCTACGGTCTGCTGCCACGCTCGGTCCAAAGGGGCCTGGTCAGGACCCCACCGGCTCAGTACAGTGAACCACTCCTGTACCTGTTGCACAACGACCGTGGCCCAAGGATCACAAACACGGTCCGCCTCAGCACTCAAAGCAACTTCAATATTACCCAGCTTTTGCAGGCCTACATGCAGTGCAACAGCACGCCTGAGTGTATGCACACGACTTGGCGGCAAGCCCTGAGCTTGATGCCCCCATAACATGGAGGCGCAGATGCTGCCTTTGAAAAGCCGCACACGACAGGACTCAACAGTTACTCGAAGCTTTTTGAGCTGGCCTTGCCGTTGTCTGCCCTTTCCGAACCTCAGCTTTTGATGCTTCACTTGGCGCACTCTGCCGAGTGCACAATCAACGCCCAAATCCCGCATGCACTGGAAGATTTTCGGCTCGTCAGGTTTCAAAAGCAGTTTCAATTCTTTCCTGGCCTGTTTGGTGCTCACAAGAAAACCAGTTTTCGTAGACGAGATTTTTAAACCACTATCGCTCAAACCTTTGGCCAGAATCCTATATCCAGCGATGGCCTGCCGTGCCACAAGTTGGGGCGTCTGGGCTTCGTAATCCGCACCTATGTCGTCAACCCAAGTATCGAGCCCTGCTAAACCCGCAGTCGAAGACACATCTTGCAGGATGGGGGCGAGGAAAACGCGGGCCATCGTGGTTGCCATCGGGCATCCTGCCGGGATTCCCTTCTGGGGCCAGATGCCTTCACTCAGCACATCCTCACTAACGATGTGGCGTTCACCAGCATATGTTTGGAGCGCTAGGGCCCCAATTACTGGCGGGAAATCGGCTTCACAAAGTCGCTTGGCTAACAATTGCAAATCAACGCAATCGTAGAAAGTCTCAAGATCGATAAGGATAGCAATCATATGCTTCCCGGCGGTCCGGCTGACTTCCCCTTTTAAGAGCCGATGAACTGCAATCTGCAAACAAGTGTTTCCCGGGGTGGCTTTATCCCAAGCTTGGGTTTCGCGAATCCACTTCTGGACTGGACCCCGTCGCACAAAACACCAGAGACGGTAGGTGATGGAGGTGAGGGAGATGGGTCTCTCGATGGTCGGTTTCTTCGGCAACATGCAGACCTGATGCTGTTGCCAATGGATGGGCACAGTTTGGCAGGCTTCACTTTCGTTGAAAACGGTGGCCAGCTCATCATAAGCTTTGCTGGGTAGGCCTCTCAGGCTCGCGTACGTTAGTCCGTCTATCCCCCCAGCCTTATCAGCGACACCATTGGCAATCTGACTGAGATCAAGTGCTTCAATGGGCGGGAGTGGTTGCTGTCTAGCCTTATCCTCAAGGATTTTCCCCGGTCTGAACCCGGGTTCAGCTTCCCCCCAAAGCTCAACCCACTGTGCTCTGCGCAATTTGGCTCGTTCCTCCACGGGTTTATCGCTGAAAGGTCTGGTATACACGGTCTCAGCTTTCGACAAACTGCGGAACAGCGGTCGCATTCCTTTGGCCATACCTGCATGGAGCCAGGCTTTATATTGCTTGAGATGCGCATGACTTGCCTCAACTTGGGCTTCTGCTTCCTTAGCTTCAGCCGTCTGCCTGAGCGGGCCGAGTAGGCTAGCCTGGCGCTGTGCAAAGGTATCACACACCTCGGCAATGAAAGAGGCTTCCTCCGGCCTGCTGGCATCTTTCGCGAGAAAACCTTCAACTTTCTTTGCATCGCCTTGCACCTGCTCCCAAACCCCCGTGCTGACTTGGGCTTGCAGCTTGATGATGCACCTGCGCATGCGACCCCACCAGCCCGCTGCTGTGGCCGGGCTGGCCTGAACACAACGGGTTTCTGGCAAGGTTCCCCACACCTTTTCTACACAGTAGCCTCGGCCTTGCAGGTCACCACGACATTCCTCCAAGGCCTTAGCCCACCTGGCCAAAGCACACGAGACTTTGTGCTCCCCTATTTGTCCCATGATTCTGGGTACGACTGGGCCGACCTGCGGCCAGAATTGGTCACTGACGTCTCCTGTCAACTTGGCGAAATGCTGCAAGCGCCATTGGGGTTGCACAACACCTGCCCCTACAATGGTCAACCGCAGTGCTGCATGCGGTTTCCATGGGACCTGCCAATCCGCTGTCAAAGTGACCGCTGACTCAATGCTTCGGCTGACCAGGACAAAATCCAATTCGTTA